GATACGTTTGTAAAGCAGAAAAAAAATACAAATATATTAATTAGACGGCGCAGACGTATTTTTTTTCAAATCTTTTTTCCGGAAAAAGAGAGTTGGCGAGCAGCGAAGCGCGCCTGACTTTAAAAGGAGATAGATACTTAATCATTATTGTGCGCCACTATCGGCGCGTTAAAACGTGTCCGAAAGGCTAGAAAGTTAGGTGTGAAGAACAATACTCGGGGACATTAATTAAAATTCGTCACATATCATGAAGTCGCGCACCGCTGTAAGAGACGCGACGATCGTGTACCGCAATAATAAATGTGCCATGATTAAAAATGACTAGGCTGTATCAGAGCATTGAAGCTCCGGTACTAGCTCATTGGAAATTGATTACTTCTTTTTATTCTCGAAATTTATTACGTCAACATTTAAACTGAATGTACCGATGCCACGGTAACGTTCGGACTTCGTGACGATTTTGCCTCGTAAATGTCGCCATATTTTTAGTCTGAAATTTCATTTATGAACGATCGAGGCTATAAGTTGACACGCGTTTACACGACTCTAGTTTTATCGATGTATACATCTGTTTTTTCATCCTGCTGTTTTGTGAATATCATAGAAATTAGTTTAAACGTGCTTCTAGGCAGCAAAAGTCAAGGGAAATTGATTCGGAAAACTGAAGTATCTCGAAATCATACCAAGAGCATCATTAATAATATCGTTACATACCGGAACCGGAATTAAACTACTATCCAGGAACTGTTCAATAATATATCAAGACGTATGCGTTAATATGAGTTTTTGTATTATAAATGAAATGTAGGTCGATTAGCAATTGAAACAAATATTAATCGTGATTTTTTAAATTTCACTCATCACCTTTAATTATGAAAAAACGATCGCTCTAATTATGGCTTTCACATCGCTAATGACTGCATTTAAAACCAAATCTCCGCGAAATCGAGAGTTACTCGTCGGCGTCTACCTGGAAACATCGGAACAGCAAAAGTGATCGTAAAAATGGAGTCCTTACATGTTCTCGACATCTTAAATGTGTATCACGCTCTAGCGCGCGCGTGCCTACAAGTCTACAAAGGACCAATATTCAAATCTGTCACTTGGAAAGTTGTCGCACGTCTCGTGCAGCTGCGCGCGAGGCCAGTTTATTTTTCGCACTCTAATATCGATTTCCCCAAAGTCATCTCGCCGGTGGCGTCGGTCAATACGCAGGGGAGCGATCGCCTCTGTATGAATATACCGACACACACCGGCCAGGGTCCTTATACCGCAATGCAAGGCCTGGACCAGCCTCACGCTGATTCTTACGAAAGAGAAAATATTTCTCTCGTCCTCGCATATAATATATAACAAAATATATGTTATGCGCACCACCACCGCCAGTACCACCATCATCGCCAACGACTTAACTCTCGTGTATATATTCGTTGGTCTCTTTGAGGTTTTCCACGAAATTGACGTGTGAGCTACGCGCGCCCGCTCTGGTCCGGACCTGGCTCGTCGAAGGCACGAGACTTTTACCTTTCCTCTATAACACACACATATTATATATGCGATGCTCATGCTTTTACACACGTTTGGAGCTTGGCTGTGATTTTTCGAATCGTGCATATACCTAGTTCTATAGATCCTATTATATACAGATGCCGAGCTCGTATAAACAAGTTTTTCTTTTCGTTTCGAGTACAAGCGCGCGAGCGAGCGAGAGTGAGAGACGCTCTTTTGTTGATTCAATACTTGGATTATGGGGATTACAGAGGTGCTCTACCGGCGAAACTTACTCTCTTGGATGATATCATTTTTACAATTTTTAGAAGCTATAAGAATATAAGTGTATTATAATGTAGAAATGGCAGTATATATCATAGTGCACTCTAACAGTGTGAAAAGAGTCATCTATTATCATATGCAAATTTACACACTTTTCGAGTACTACGGTGCTTAAATCGAATGACAATATGAATTATGAGCACTTCCACGGAAGAACATTAATAAATATTGAAATGAAAAAAAATTTTTTTTACGTTCGCTACCTCCATAAGAATCGTATTTTCAATTGAAAAGTATCGTAGTATCTGCAATGGGCCACATTTATTTGCCAATCGATTCCCGCGAAAATTTCAACGATTACCGAGCTCAATTTCATGCTGAGTTTATAAATTAAAATCATTTCCAGCAAGTTGATCGCTATCGTGAACTACATTTTTACTGCTACACATTTACGCAATGTGAATGATACAAAAATACGTAATGGACGCGTGTACATCGAAGAGATCGGATCGAATTTCCTTTTTTCCAGGTTTCGCGACATTGTCTTCGGTTTCCGGAGTTGCGTCGCTTTCAGAATTAAGTCCAGCGATCGAGAGGGAAGCAACTATTCGATATTCTTGAGATATCGTAAATTGAGTGCAGATGCTGCACTACCGGACACTTTAACGACTTATGTATTGGTTCGATGGAAAAGCGTGAGTTTTTTCGAATGAGCCTGGTTACCCACTTATTAAATATGATTGGAAGCCTTAAAAATGAAAGTGACACGAGTATAATGGATATTACGTATAACATGAGAGTATTACAGGCCACAACACAATACCATCATAAAGCAATTAAAATCTTAATATATCAAAGAAACATTCCGTATATAAAAACAGCTATGAAATACCATCGAATTTGAACAACGAGTTATCATGAGCCTGAATTTCATATAAAATTTTTTCTGATTTCACTCGTGTATGTTATGGCGATCTGACATCCGACACTGCAGTGTAGAAGCATCATTTTAAAAACTTCATCTATTACGATTCTCAAGATTTCTTATAGTTCAACATTACGTTTGGGATAAAAAACGAGACGTACGACACGAATGCGATTTGCATTACGCGGAGTACATACGCCAATGACTATTACGTTCAAAAATGTTGTTCCAAGAATTTCAAGCATTTCATCAGGAGTTATGAGAAAATCGCGGCGATGTTGCGGTTATGCAGTCGAACGCGCACGACCACGAGAAATCGTAAACTCGTATTTTGCGATGAATTTACAAAAATAAGTAAATAAATAAAAAATCGAGTCTTGGGATACCTTAATTCAACGAATTGATTTAATAGTCACACGTTCGTGTACTCTATACAGACCCGCGTACACGTCCTATTAAACATGCATTAATTTTATAGCAAAAAATAGTATATTTTGTAACAAGTGCGCGAAGCAGTTGACTCATCCAGGAGTTGTTTTCACCCGAGCGTAGCGAGGGTGCAAAGACTCCTGGGTGAGTCAACTTCCTCGCGGACTAGTTGCAAACGATATTTTTTAACTCTGCTTGCGAGAAACTAGGGTTTTCTGACGCTTTAAGGTTAGAAAACCCGTGTTTCGCGCACGCAGTGTTAAAAAGTTGTATTATTGCCACACGCACATGCGCCTCGTCGTGCCGGTGTAAAGCGTTAAAAATACGCTAGTGTGAAGAAAAAAGGAGTTAGGAGAAAAAAATGGAGAAACTCAACGGCACGTTGTTAACCGTACTAGCTTCATTTCCGGCTTTTACATTTTTGCTATTGTACCGAATAATACAAATAACGCGAGCGCGCGCAGTACAATGAAACTTGAAAGCTCAGAGTTCTCCGAAAATGTGCGCCGCGCTCGCTCGTAAGTATATAGTTGACATTTGCAGTTTGATTTTAAACAGCATATGCATGTGTGTATTATTTACGGCGCGATGCCCGAACAATGATTCGACGATGCGCTGTTTTCGCGCAGTGCATAATATAAGAGCCGAGTTTGACACGGCGATCGAAGTTTACGAAACAATTATCGCGTCCTGCACACGTTGATGAGTAATTTCGACGTATAACGTCAATGAACTGAGCTGCTGAGCACATCGTTAGACATACAGCATCGCAACGTGCATTTGTCACGTTCAAGAGTGAAAGTAGACTAATAATTCTGTGGAAGAGGAAGGAGTCAGCTGCTCGTGTCACTGTGCTGCGGTGACTGTAGCGGCGTCGATGTTGACTATTTTTTCATACATGTATCCGTGAGAGACGTGCGAGTTTTGATTTATACCACGTTAATTCGGCTGATACCCATAATCGGTTCACTATGATCGTGTTTATGACACTTTTTGTTATAGTAGTTAGATCGTGCTAGATAAGACACGTTACGTGTTTTAATTTGTGGAAAGAAGCTTACCGGTAAAGATAAAATTACATCTGTTATTCGGAAACACGAATTCAAATTGCTACCGAAAAACTGGGGCGGGTCAAATAAGAGTTCTTAATTTAGGAAATTGAATTAATTAATTCCAGCAACAGAGTTGAAAGTAGAGTTCGTACGAGGAGTAAAGTATTTTCCGACAAAATGAAAAGCCGACCAAATCGTCAATAATAACCTTTACAACAATCCTCGGACGCGTTCAATTTTTATTTACAAAACAAAACAAACGCGCGCACAAGTTTAATGCGCGCCGCTGATATTTTTCACGAAAAAATCGATCCGCGCATCAAACGAAGTACGTCGCACGATCAATTATTCGCACGGAGCATTTAACACTAAATTCGGCATTACATTAAAGCCGACACGAGACACGCGCGACTCATTTTCCCGGTAAGTTCATGCGATTATAGGTGCGCGTTCGAGGAAAGCTGTGAAACACGTTACACGCGTCGCGCATCTCTTTCGCTTTTGCTCTCTTGCCGCACGCGCTGCATAGCGGTGCGATTCTAAATAGCGATGACAATATTTAACGAAAGTTTTGCATCGCGCGGGCTGTCGGGACGTTGCTTTTTCTTGACGTTTAAGTGCTTACATTCTGAAGTTGAATGTATACCTGTTTTCGCACTGTTTATATTCAACGAATCGAGAGAAACGTCACGACGCGTTTATGAGAGGAATTGAAATGAAGTAAAACTAGACGTCGTGACAAATGCAAGTGAATTCGTGAATTTCCAGCGAGTTTTTGTTCTCAACTAAATTTGATACGGTAAAACGAACGATCGGCTTACCATTCGATGCTGTGATATCCTCTCAGGCAGCAGTGCAGAGCCTTGAAGGACGCGATGTTTGCGTATTCGCTGGACACCACCTCCTTGGTGAAGCCAAGACCGCTGAACGCATTTTGGAAGCGATTGCTCGTGCAGTAATCGTCCTCGGCCCTCGCGAACGGCGCGGCCACGATCAAACACACAAGAAGCACACGAACGAACTTTAATTTCAAAGCAGCCATGATTTCTGAGCACTGGGTTACTTTTTATTTGTAATCACTAAACACACTCGATGGAGGTATTTATTTATTTATAAGGATGTTGGCGAACCAATCGGTTCAATCACATTATCACAGGGGAGCACAGTATGAAAGACGCTCGGGCAAATACGAATAAATAATTCGTCACCTTTTTTTACTCTCAACCAATGATCGATTCTTTCGATAAATCACTGAAAATTCAAAGCCGAAATGTTAGAGAGAACGTGTAAACTAGCCATGTACGCGTAGTGTTATGATCAACAGCGGCATGGACGAATAGAAGGAAAGTTTGAACAGTCGCACGATGCTACTCGCACAGTTGTCAACGACACACTGACCGGAGTCGGTGTACAGAAAGGCGCTCGTAGCGGCGTGCCGCGCGTGTGTGTATAGCAGACGACCCCTTCTCTCTCTCTCTGTCTCGCTCGCGCGTTCTCCCATCGCAACAGGCAGTCGATGGTGATCGTACGGCAACATATACAATAACGCCACGGTGTCTCTCTGTTATTCTGTAGAAAACGCGAAAAAAGAAAAAATTTAACGTTTAAAAGGAATATGCGACAAAGGCTCGAGGAAAGAGATGTATCTCACTGAAAAATAGTAATGATAAAATTTAAAAAGTGCAATGGAAAAGGAGAAAAAAAATTCCTTATCGAATACTTTAAATTATTCTTTTATTGATTTTTAGGTGTACAAAAGCTGCAGAAACCGTTAAACATACGAAAAACAACAAATTTTGCTTAGTTTAATGTTTAATAAATATTTTTTAATTACAAATCAAGAAGTCAAAATTTCAAATCTTACTCTAAAAGTCAAAGTGTATTTCGTCGCCCCAGCGCAAGAACCGCACAAATAAACTCAAGTGGCAAAAAGGTGCCTTAATCCTATCCTTATAACATAGGGATAAGGTTGTTCTTGTCCCTTAAGTTTATTTGTGCGGTTCTTGCGCTGGGGCGACGATTTGATCTTAATAAATATTAATTATATTAATTATCAATAAAAACCTCCGAGCACTAACAGCAATGCTTTTTAGGATGGATAGCACGGCACTGATAAAATGAAAATCTTTCTTTATGCTGAAAAGCAGCGATATACTAATATTTTTAAGATCATAAATACTAACTTTCAGTTATAAGGATCACTAAGTATTTGCAAAGTTTTTTGTAGACTATAGCAGTTTTTTTCAGCCTTCCGCATTTATGGAAATTAATAATGAGGTTGCCAGGCGATGTTAATGAATATTTTTTACTTCCGAGGCAAGGATTTTCTACTGGCATACCGATAGGGAATAGCTAGGATCAACTGATAATTGGAATGTTGAAAAATGAATTTTACAGCTATATTTTAAAGAACGAATTAAAGACGAAACATAGTTCATATTTTAGTTTATGTATTAAAGGTGAATCAACGGTTTTTTAAAGTAATAAAAAATTAAATAACAGTTTAGAATATTTTATTATTTTTCACATAATAAAAGAATATATAACTCACAGATTTTCTAAAATGTCATGGCGTACTCATGTGATTATAAAAGTTTTCATTGCGTCCGAATGTTTCCAGAATAATCTCACGCTCCTAGTGGTTTCTTCGTTTATGTACTGCATTGTTGTGATTTTTGAGTACATTCAGATATCCAAATGATTTGTGACAAATTTCACATTCGAAGGGTTTTTTACGATTATGTACTATATTCAAGTGAGTTTTGAGATAACCTTTTTGTCCAAATGATCTGTGACAAATCTCACACTCGAAAGGTTTGCTACGATCATGTACGGCATTTGTGTGAGTTTTGAGGTGTTGTTTTTGTCCAAATGATATGTGGCAAATATCACATTCGAAGGGTTTGCTATGATCGTGTACAGTCATTATATGAGTTTTAAGGTCACCTTTTTTTGCAAATGACTTGTGGCATATCTCACATTCAAAGGGTTTACAACAATCATGTATTATACTTATGTGAGTTTTGAGGACGCTTTTGTATCCAAATAATGTACGGCAAATATCACACTCAAAGGGTTTGTTTCGATTATGTAATGCATTTATGTGGTTTTTTAAGGTGTAGTCGTTTCCAAATGATTTGTGACAAATCTTGCATTTAAAGGGTTTGCTGCGATCGTGTACTACATTCCAATGATATTTTAAGGTGTTCTGGTATCCAAATGATTTATGACAAATGTCACATTTGTATAATCTAATGTCATTACGTGTCGAATTGATATGCGTATTTAAACTCGGTCTTCCTTTATAAGCTTTTTTATGCATTTTGCACTCATATAATAGTTTGATTTGAGTGTTTTTTCTAAATATTTTAACATCCTTACCTTCGTCAATTTCACATCGAGGATTTACTTGGAATTGACAATTTTTATCGTAATTAAATTCTTTTCTTATCAAAATTACTAGCTTTTTTTCATTCAAATCATTTGTCTGATTTTCGTTTTCTATTTTCACCCTTTGATGCTCAGTTTTACAGATAGCTGTCGACTGATTTTTCAGTTCAAGTTTAACATTCTTGCACTCAAATTCTATGGATATTTTTTCATTTAACTTTTTCGACAATGCTATAACCTCATTTCTGTAATTTTCCTGAAATTAAAATTGTGCAATATTTTCGAAAATTTGAAATGCAGAAAATAATTAGATCATTAAACTTACTGATAATTCAGAAAACGAGAATCTGTCAAAGTTTTTTGCTTCCCAAGAGTTCACCGAATCTAAATTATAATCGTCGTCTACGTTAGACCAGGTAACGCTCGGCTCTTCCTTCACCCTGAAGAATAGTTAAGTTTGATATTGATCAAGTTTCAACAAATATAATGGCACATGTAAAAAAAACGTCATACCTAATTGTGTCACCTCTGCTTTCCATAGCACTCGAATTTATGCAATTACTATGACTTCCACAGTACACAATAAGAAAATATTCGAGGTTATATGCCTCGAATAGCGACTTAACGCAGAGAGCTATAGATACTCTTATACGGATATTATTATACCAAACATTTGTTTACTGTAGTAATGTATCTTATCACCAGTGGACTGCACGCACTACTCGTATAGTAGCGAGAAGATGCTGAGTTTGTGATATGCTTCTATACTTTCGCCCTTCACCGGCGACTAGTCAAGCGCACCCTTATAAAAATTTCCTATAGGATCTCGTGAAATTCCTACAGGAGCCCTATAGGATTCCAATAGGAATTTCGCGGGATCCTATTGGAAATTTTTATAAGGGCAGTTATGAGGAATATCGTTAACACTACACCAAATTTATGAATAGGATGCCATGCATTCAGGCGCGAAATGTTCTTAAACAGAATAGTGCAATATGTAGACAAACATTCACCCAAATGAGAAATATATTTTTAAACTCAAATCAATTCAGTGCATAACGGTGTTGCATTACAATAGTAAAATATGCTTATATATACTTGACCAAAGACCACTTGCAGATTTTCAGGGATTCGAATCACTCGCCATCTAGTGCCAAAGACTCAAATTGATATATAGTATTAAAACTAGTAGTAACGGTACGTATTAAAGCTGGTTTAAATTTTTTGAAACAATTATTTTCAGATCATTAAATTTCTCTTAATATTTGTATCATAATTGTATTGCCAAAAACCAGCCAATTAATGGTAAGACTTTTTAAAACATGTCAATTTTCTGATTATTTGTCCATAATTAATGAAGAGTACGTCTACCATATAGTTATGTCCTACGTACTTTACACGTTAGTGCTTCTGGTCTTACTTCATAACTTTTATAGTGCATGTGACTTTTTGGTTGTCAAGTAACCACCTTCAATATCTTGAGTCATTTGCTCCGACTATCTTTGGTCGTTTTTGATGTTATTTTTGCTCGATGGAGGGTAAGTGTACATGCTGTATACAAGCGCGGATATACATGAATTTACAATTCAAAGGAAAAGAGGCAAATATCTATGTACGATTTACCTGCCGGCAACTCGCTCGCTCATTTGGCTCGTTTCATGTCCTTTTTCCTCTGCTGCGCGGCCCGCAACGAGCGATTCCTCTTTACCGAGAAATATTCGCTTGCCGCTTTCACGAATCGCGTGCTCGATGCGCGTTTCTGTACCTCAAATATACGTGCATTCGCTCGCTCGTACACAGGGTAAACGCATTAAGGTGACTCGAGGTACTTTTCAGAAATCGTGAAATTAAGAAAATTCATTCGGGGGGGAGACATTAGTCAACTTGTTTTTACTGCTGCCGCGACACTCGCACGAAGCATTTGAACAAATAACATTTGAGCGACCTGACGCCCGCATATATTCGATGTAAATATGTACAAAATGTATATTGTGCGAGCTATTTGATTCATTTTGATAAATGCATGACGTTTCATTGCACTTGAAACGCGCTGCATGATCGACAAACATACAAATTTTATGATTTTCCTATTTTGTTATAAAAATGAATGTATACATAGAGTATTTAGATTCAAGATTTTAATTGACAGAATCGACCCCTATTAAATCGCGCTGTTTTTTTTTCGACTATTATAAAATTATAATCAATAAAAAAATACCTCTCTATTCTTATACAGTCAGTTCCTCTTTCTTTTGAATCATTTAATTATTTATCCATTTAGAGGTAAAGCATTAATCGTAAAAAAATGTATGTGATGACATGATTATTAATTCACAGAAAATTACTTACGAAGTAACGAAATCATGAGTAAGATTTTTTTCTCGGTAATTTTATTCGTAATGATGGATGATTATAATGAGTAATTTTTTTTTGTTTCTAGGTATGATTTATACGAATAAATTAAAAATGAATTATTAATAAAAAATTATTTTATCTTATAATTTAATTTTGTCATTTTGGTAGTTATCAATTCATTCAAAGTCCTACATCATTCATCGATAAAATTTTATTCAGCATATTCATCCGATCGGTAATTAGGAAACTACATTATCGACCGTCATTAACAGCATTTCATGATTACCAACACTTGTTATTTTATCCAAAATTCAAGTTTGGATTTATTTTGATATTGATAAGTGTAGATGGTTTTTTTTTAATTTAAACCAATCGATAACTTTTTTCTGACAAATATATATCATTCACAATCTCATAGAAAAACTGGCGCTGTATGCTAAATTTCGTAAAATTGCGGTGGCGTTCGTGTGCTGGCAATCGCTGTTTTTTATTAATTACCTTTTTGATACGCTTTACGTATACAATCCGTGACTTGGCCAGGCACGCGGTGAACATCCGTTTCGCTTGTGCGTAACAGACGCCACTGTTCGTGCGGTCTGCTTTTTCCTGTACGTTGGAATCAAATATTCTTGTACAAACTCCCTCATGTTTCAAAGTAAGTCGCCCACGATTAATATTAAGACTCTTTAAATTTATCTAAAGCTTCATCCTACTATTAATGTTGCTCAAAATTCTTGGTCGGTTTTTTCGTATAATCTTATTAATAAATAAAAAAATTACAATTTATGTTCTACAATTTTTTAGCATAAATGGTTTTATTAGCTTTACTACTGCATTGTGTTTCAAGTTGAATGTTTAATAATAATGAAAAATCGATATTAAAAGATTTTAAGTTTCCTAATTTCGTGGAGGTTTAAAGCAGTTTTTGCCACCGTAAGAGAAATGTGTAGGTTACGAGAGGTTTCGTACGTATGGGACTATAAAGTGAGAAAATAAAACATGCAGCGAGGAAAAAGTTAAGAGAAGAAGGAAAAAACGAGAGAAGTTATAAACTGAGCCAGCTTTTGTCGCCAGCAGCCACTTGCAATCGTAATTTGACTAGCATAAAGATGTAGAAAGGTCCGAGGCAAGACGTGAATTTAGACTAAGTGTTTCCTATGCGTGAAAGTCCACCTGCGGATTCATATCGTTGTCCGAAAAATAATAAGATCAAAGACTTTTGGCAAAGAATTTATTAACAGTCTATTGTTTATTTTATCATTTTTGGAGGTTCTACAATAATGATGAACTTTCACTTCGATATTATTTCGATGGTTAGTAAATAATTTTTATTCATTACGTATCGACGCAACACTGCGCAAGCTAATATGAGTTATATTTGATAGTACTATAATTACCAAGATCATTTACAATTTATTACGTCCAAACTAGAATTTGACCTTCTCTTGATATGTTTGCCTTGTGTACACACGCACTAATGAAATGAACAAATAGCATTACACTCATAAAACGGACTTCGTTCGAGTACACGGGCGAAGTGAGAAATGGTGTATGCAAACGTAATATACTTCAAGATTTTTAATTGACGTCAGCTGCTGCTAGTCAACATTAATATTTTCAGATGTTACTTCGCTCTGCGGCCGGTGTGTTACTCTTTGTGCTTCAATTTTTTTTTTTTTTTGAATGAACCAAACTGAGGCGATAGAAAAACAAGAAATAATTTTGCGGCTTTCCAATCATGATTTCAAAATTTATGCTCCAGTGAAAGGTCAGAAGGTTTCGCGACTCGGAGGAAAGAATCACTCACAGGAAAGAAGAAATTTATTTGACTGGACCATGAGACAGAAAGTAGAGAAATACAATGTAAAGTTGCGTAAAATGCTTAATCTTATAAATAATATAACTTAAGAATTTTCTTGATTTATGATGATCTATGATATTATGAAAAGTCGAAAGCTAATGTCGAATGTAACTGCTATACGCATTTTTCAACGCCGTGTATTCCCACAGTGATATGGGGTCTTGATTCGAAGTCAACACTCGCAGGACGAATAGGGCAGAGGTTCTATTGTCAGCAATATCCTCTGCTTTTTAGTACTTTAATTAAAATTGAATATAACTATCTCAGCATCATCCATTGTGATTGCTATACATTTTATGAAGATTTTCTTTAACGTGAAATGGTTAAGTGCTCTTTAACGTCAAATAATCAGAAGCATAAATGTTAAATTAACATCTGTCATTGAATTCATGACCGAGCAACGTTTGCAGTTGGCTCACCGAATTGTGTTTAAGGTCACCGGATTGCAAAGCTTGCTTATTAAAGAATATAGTACAGCAAAGCTGCAGCGAAGTTTCGAATATTCGATACGTACATTGCAGGCCGAAGTTTATCTCGCAATGTAAGGACTTGTCTGACGGGGCGTATACTGAACATGTTTTAGTATGTACACAAGCGGAGAAACAAGCTCGCGCGTGACGGCCCTTATCGTCGATGTACGAATAAAAATTGGCTAAAGCTGAAATAAAGGAATGAAAAAATAAATACATAAAAAGCCATTAAAATCACGGGTCATGTGGCAGCGCTGCACTGACGTTCGAATATGCGCGCGCGTAATAAATAATCATCCGCTAGCGCGAAAAGTTCTGGTGAATCTTTTTTTTCTATCGGTTATTTTCTCCTTTTCATTGGCATCAACAGTCATCATCAAATCCGAGCTTCGATGATGGAATAAAAGTGCTACACACACATACGCACAACGGCAATAGAAAGAGTCGAGGCAATAGAAAGAGCCGAGTCGAGGTGGAAGCGCGCAAAGGGCGAAAGCTCACCTAACGGATCGCGCGCGGTGTTTGTTGGTCGCGGAGTATAGCAGCAGTAGCAGTAGTGGGGGTACATATCTGATCGCAAGCTCTCTCTGTCGGACGCGGGGAACTTCTCTCTCTCCCTCTCAGCAGATACATGCGCAGTCCCCGCAAAAGTTGCTCTTGCTGCAGCAGAACCAGCAGCAGCAGTAGTAGCCGCAGCAACAGCAGCAGCAGCAGCAGCAGCTAAAAAGCCAGTGCGAATCTAGTGTAGTAGTCAGTGCGGCCTGAACGGTAAGCCGGCCTACATTCCTTCCGCTAACTTTTTTTGACACTCGTACAGCAGCAGCAGCGACTGCTGCTCGTCTCGCGTGTCATCCCTCCTCGTTCGTACACACACGAATACACACACACACACTCACGCACATGCATATATTTATGCGTATACACATGTGGAAGCGTATGTATATTCATACAATATATAATCTAAAATAAAAATTACTCTACCCAATAGTGTGGTGCTAAAACGTCAACAAAAAAATACAAAAAAGTGTTGATACCGCAAAGAGACGATCACACCTAAGTTTTGCTATAAAATAATTCAAATACGCACTGAGTCATGCGTGCACGCGTTTGAATCGCGATCAATTTGTTCGTCGAATTTTTGGTGCGACGAGAGTAAGTGTTGAAAGAAAAAAAAAAGAATAATTAGCTGATACAACTGTAGCTTCGTTGCGTCGTTGCGTCTTCGTTGCAGCGACTGCAACGAAAAGCAACAGCAGCAGCAGCAGCAGCAGCAGCAGCAGCAACAGAAAAGGAGAAGAAAAAATTGCGATCGATTGGTCCTTTTTGGATTCGATTAGAGCAGCAACAGCAGCCGTAGCAGCATCACAGCAGCATCGGCACACACGGGCACACACACACACACACACACATACGCCATTGCATCGAGAGGATGTTACTGAGCTGATAGAGCTCGCTTTGTATTGGCCTGCGCTATCGCCGTAGTCGTCGTCTTTTTGCTGCATCTTGCTCTCTGCTCTGGGGAGGAAAAGAAAAAAAAGTACAAGGAAAGAGAAGACGACGTATCACGCACACATACGTACACGCGAGCGCACGTACGCACACACCTGCTCGAGAGCCGCTAGTCGCAGATCGTAAGTTGAACTTTACGCTTTTATATTCTTCCTTACTCGTCGCGCAAATTATGCGCGACTATCGGTGAGAGTTCTGCTGAGAGAGTGAGCGAGTGAGTGAGCGAGAGAGCGAGAGAAAGAGGCTATATAATCGGAGAGAGATAGAGAGAGAGAGTGAGAGAGGGACTTTGCTCTGCGCCGCGAAACGCAGAGAGAGAGAGAGAGAGAGATGAGAGTGGAGGGTGTGCTGCTGCTGCTGCTGCTACTGCTACTGCCTGCAGTGTGTATAGTATCGGTGCTGTTGGTGCGGTTATGATGATTCTGCGCGGCTCGTGATTCTACGTGATGCGCCCACGTTGATCCCTCTCGCCTCTACTCTATGCTGCTGCTTTATGTACGCTCGTGCCTTTACTTCATCGTCGTCATCGTCGTCGTCGTCGTTGTCGGTGCTGCTGCTACTCTACTTGCACGTTTAACATCGAAGCACGAAAATATATCTGGATACGTTTTATGTTTTGGCCAACTGACGCGAGCTCTCTTTCTCATTTTATTCTTGTTTTCTTCTCAACGATAAATAATATCCGACCGTGTCCGTGTGCTTCTGCGTTTGTGTGCGAGTATCATACGAGCCTTGCGGTGTACAGCGAAAGAGCTTGCGCCGCGAATGAATATTCCCTCTTCAGTAGCGAGCTTGCACACGAATATATATATCTATAGAGAGATTAGTTTGGTGAGGGCAAGTTTTATCGATAAAACTCTCTTGGCATTGTTGAAGGAGAGAAAGAGAGCGAGGCAGTATTTAGATATTACGTTTGTTTGCTTCTCTCTCTCCTGCAGGATCCCTTAAAATCGATGTAAAATTACCTCTCTCTCTCTCTCTTTCCCTTTGTGCTTGCAGTACTTAAATTTGCATTCCTTTTTTCTTTTATTAAAGCAATGAGTAGGCTAAATTTAATGTAAAAGCGTAATAACTATTATTACTTAAAAATACTCGAAAATGTTTCACCGGCTGCCTCTGAAGTGCCTATATCTCTTTTTTCACCTCTCTCTTTTTCTCGGTGTACTTTATTTTAGGGCTCGTGCACGGCTTTACAAAAATACTACATAAACCACCGCTTGTATTAAATTTAGACGGATTGTGTGTGCAAAAACCCATTTTCGAGACTTCGGAGTTTGCACCCAAATTTAAACTATTTGGGAAAACAAACGCTCCGACTTGTCGAGATTTTTTCAATCGTGAAGTAATTCGCTCGCAAAGAAGAGAGATAGAGATTTCTTAAAAATACAAATCAAAAACCAATCGCTACGACGTAGGCCAAGAAGCACATAAGAATTATTTTTCTTCGATCTCGTCGACAGACTCTCTCGTAAGCGCCGCGTGCTTATTTTAAGTTATGCGTAACGGTAAAAGCCATCGGGACGAGAAAGAAGAATAGAAGAAAATAATCAGACGCGTAACTAGCTACTATCTCTCTCTCCCCCTTGCAATAACACCGAGCGAAAACTATATATATAATCGCACAATGGAAGTCTTAGGCTGAAAGTTTGAATGACTGCGGTATTATCTACGTTAACAATGATTTATATATGGCCTACAGGATAAACGACGTGTGTGCTGCGTCGTCGTCGTCGTCGTCGTCGTCGTCGTACGTCGCGTAATTGTGCCGACAATGGTCTCGGGCGGCTCTGCGGATAGCTTTTCATTCATATTTCCCCCCGATTCTCCGACGTTTTATTATTCGCGTTCCTGTGCCGAGACCCGTCGCACACACGTTTATACGTATACCTGTATAGCACGCGTGTATATATCCAAATGTCGATACGTATAATAAAACGTCCGTGTCGAGCCGTCAAGCTTGTATCCTGCTGCTGCTATACTGTGGCCGTCGCCGCTGCGCCACACACACACATACACACACAAGCTTCTTTTGGTTTTACCTCCTTTCTAATCATTCTTACCTTCTATACCGTGTTCTATACTCGTACGTGCCGATTCTCTCTTTTTTTCCACCAAAAATGTTCAAAAGTTAGCTTTTTGAAGTATCTCCTTTTTCGTAGCGCGCGAAAAAAAAGCTACAGTACGTTTTTGCGCACAAACGAAGGAAAAAAAATCCTACGATTCCGTATTTACTTTGCCATTGAAGTGAGCGAGATAGAGAAAAATCAGTCTTTTCAAATTGCGAATCGCGAAAATCCGGGACTGAAATGACTCTTTTTTCCTTTCATCGCGGCGCGTTCGAATATTTTAAACAAAACAAGTACTACCTAAATTCAAAATAGGCTATATCGCTACTTGGCTCACGCGCCTGTATTTTTGTAGCTTCTTCAGGGGCCTCTCGACGAAGTTATAGGTCATGCGCGCCGAGGGTTCATTTGAATAAAAAAAAAAAAAAAACGAAAAGAAAAAAAAATTATACCTGCAGGTGTAACATTATTCTTGAAAATGCATCGAGCTCGTCTGACCCGTTTTCTTGCATCAAGGCGCGATCTCGCCGCACATTCGAGACCTCGCTAACAGCAGTACACATCGGGGAGGAATATTACCTAATAGCCGTGCGCTGGAATAAAGTAACATTTTCTTTCTCTGTCTTTCGCGCGCCAATCTCTCACCTATTGTCCTTCACACGTTTTTCGCGCGAGCGTAGAGTCATTTAACATCTGCTCGCACGCGATTCATTTTCAACCCTCTCTCTTTTTCTCTCTCTCTCCCTCGGTCGCCATTTATTTTCTCCGAGTCAAGAATGTATATAAAAGTCGATTTCTCATGTATGCATGCACCTATATAAAAAATTACATTATTCTTCACGCCTAAAGTTTTTCATTTATAGTTTCTTTTTTTCGTTTGAGCTTATAATTTATAGCTACGTGTGCATTGTATACCCGCGCGAATCACGCGCGCCTCTATAGTTCAGACGAGAAAAGCTCGTATATAACAAGAAGAATTCACCAATGCAGGTGCATAGCTCGTGATTAAAATTAAAATATTAATAGCCACGGTGCAGTTATTACACTTGTTTGCCAATTTAATTATTTACTTTCAATTATAGCTATAATCGTGAAAAAATCTTGAACTAAAAATTTCATGCCCTGTTAAGCTTTAGGATAATTCTGCGAGTACTGAGTTATTGACTTGATAAAACGTTGTGTTTTCTAGAAAACTAATCGCATAATTCAATGTAGAAATCTTATTACGAATTATCACTTTTTTCAAGTTTATAAATTAAAGCTGCAAATAAACAGAACTATGAGAGATACAATGAATAGAAATTAAAATGCTACTTATTCGTAGACGAACAGCTAAAGTTTTAACACGACTTTTGAGAATTTCGCGAAATTCATCAAAAGGCACACACGTGGTCCGCGCTCAAATTGACAGTGAAGTTTTTCATTAGGAGCGCGTTGATTAAACCATCTCGCGTTCCACAGTCCGATAAAAAATTTTTGACTTTTTTTCCTGTTCGGATGATGATGAATCCTGTTCCGTAATGAACGTACATTTCATCAAAGATAGAACAATCTTTTTTTTTTACTTTGCGCTAGACTGCCACACATTTTTTTTCCGTCTTACACAGAGTGGAAAAATGGTCTAACTGACTGCGATGAACTCCATCGTCGATTCCTTCGCATTTTTCATTTCTTTTCTTTTGGGGATTCCGTTAATGAATTTGATTGGCAAGCATTTCTAACGAATCGAATCAACATGGGAAAGTGAGACGTGCATTTGTGAAAAAGCATCGTTCAGAACCTGCCCAACGGCTACATTCATCAAGCTTCTTGTTCAAACGTCAAACGTTTAAAAACATTTTTTTCCTCTCTCAAACTCGATGGGTATTGTTCGGTGAAATTTACAGATCGCATTACGATACATATAAATATACAGATTCAATGGCTCGAACGGGGCCTCCTTTCAATTACATTTTAATCGACCGAGATATATTTTAATCTCGCGACCGTTTGACTATAAAATCAATATTTCCCAGCAGTCGGCACCGGCAATGCCATGAAAATCCTCGACGGCGCCTCTCTCGGGGTATATATAGACCTCTCTTTCTCTACATCTTTTTCTCTCTTACTGCCGAGTGCGGTATTATACACTATATACATCGTGCAAGTCTATACGTATATAGTTAGGAAAAGTCTTTCAAAAACCAATGGACTGATACGCCCAATAATATGCGTCAGGAACGAGGGAGAAAAAAAGGAAGAGAATCGAGCATAGGAGAAGGAAGCGCTGTTTGTTCGCTGAAATGAATGCCCTCATTAAAGTGATGAAATTGGCAAGAAAATATATACTTATATTCGGCCTGATCTTTCGCTCTTACTGCTCTACCTTCCAACATGGTGCAGACTCTTACTTTTGCTTGGATGAATCGCAGATTCTGCAATTGATTGAAATGTCTTCCTCCTCTCCTCTTGTTTTTTTCTCTTTTTTTTTTTGTCCTTTTCTTGTCTATATCTTCGATTAAACTCTTGCTTCTGGGTATTGTACTGTCGTTCGCGTCGACGGATACAGCCAAATTTTGCTGAAATTTCTCAAGTCCGATAGATATAATAAAGGTATTTTTATGGCATCTTTAATATCAGACGGGGTGATACAACGAATAATACCACCGGATCACTGGTGCTTCAGCGTTAGCAAATATTTTTCCCAAATGAAAATTAATTCAACGTGTTATCTATGTGACTAGAAACACGCACAAGTATTCGAAGCTCGGGAAAAAAATATAAGACTAAGAAAGGAGTAACGAATTGCATCGCTCGAAAGAGAGAGAAAGATAGAGAGTGAGAGCTAGCGCGTATAGAGCATTGAACTTCCGTAGTGGGAGGTAATAAATTGACCCGGTTGGGATGTAACGTACTCTCATGCGTACGTTCCCTTTGCACGTTATGTCATCACTCGGCATTTGCTCGTTATAAGCGTGCGAGCACTTTATATTGAGGGGAAAAAAGCTCGAGCGCCGCAAGAGATATATAATATATATTTTACGTATACACATGGAAAAATCTGCCGACGCGTTAGT